ACTACCGATTTGTAAGACAAATTGGTTTAAAAACACTTTTATTATGGCGAACAGTTTTAATTATTAGTAGTAATCTTCATTATTAGTATTTTGGTGTTCATACTTCTCCTTTTGTATTTTATTTTAGGTTATATTTTACGGTTTTTATAGTAGTGATCAAATATTTATAGATAATTTTTGGTTCCATTGTAAAGTAAGTCACATTTCAGCCGGCCCGGGGGCTGCAAAGACTTTACTTCTTAATAAAGCTATCTATCAGTATCTGTCTATCTATCTATCTATGCTTACGGGAAGACTGTTCCGAAGCGGTAGCGCTGCCGCCATGAAGGATCGATCCCCCATGGTAACTTTTGTGAAACGCTTTGGGGTGCTCAGAAGAATTCCCTTGTTAATTGGCCGTAAATCATAAAGGGACGGCGGTAAAACAGAAACTAAATCAATGAACTATTTAGGAGCTGAGCCCTAGAGTACTTTAAAGGTGATCAAAAGGATTTTAAACTCGATACGTAGGCGGATAGGCAACCAGTGAAGTAGTTAAAGGAGCGGCGTAATATGACAGTGTTTAGGTGCGCAGAAGATCAATCAAGCACTGGCATTCATGACACGTTGGAGTTTTTGCGTGTGACGGTCGGGAACTTCATAGAGGAGACTGTTGCAATAGTCTAACCTACTGCTAATAAAGGCATGAATCAGTTTTTCAGTACATTCCCTAGTAAGATATTTCCGTATGTGTCGGATATTATACAGATAAAAGAATGCACCACCACAGGTCTTTGTTATATGCGTTGCCATATCCATGTGCGAGTCGAACCAGGAGCCCAGATTTTTTTGCCGAGTATACGGAACTACATCAACGTCACCAACCCTAATACTACTAACAGACACTTTAGATAGCTACTTGCTAGTGCCGATCACCAGAAACTCAGTCTTATCATCGTTCAACATCAACTTATCATTAATCATCCGTGAACGAACATCAGCGATGCATTTCTCCATAGCATCTAGCGCCTCAGCTTCACACGTACTCTCTAACGGGCGAAATGACAAGTATAATTGAGCATTATCTGCGTATGAGTGTGCAGACGGCAGGTGAGATTTAATAATACTGAAAAGTTTGCTAGCATAGATAGTAAAAAGCAGGGACCAAGGCATGAACTCTGAGGCACCCCGTATTCTAGGCCAAACTTTTTGGAAAGAGCGCCATTAATTGTAACTTGTTGCGATCGACCTCTCAGATAGGATCGAAACCATTGCAGAGCTGACCCAGGTAGGCCGAGTAGTGACTGAAGCTTATGAATAAGAATGTCATGGTTCACAGTATCAAAGGCGGCGCTGAAGTCCAAACGAACTAGGAGTGTCACATGACCCATATCCATCATTCATAAGAATATGACATGACGTCATCAATATTCAAAACTAAAGAATTATCGATCCCTCCGAATTTTTACTTTCATTAAACAGTAAAGCAGCTTAAAACTAATATTTATTCAAATTCTCACTTCGAAAAGGCTTTTCATTTTTTAATATAGTACGCTTGAATATCAAAGCTTTTGTGTGAAGCGGCATATACATGGCTCATGATAGAGCTGTCATGTAGGTTAAAAAAATGACCTTTTGGGGGATAGTTTGCCATTTAACAGTTGTATTGCAAAAGAAGTATTACTTTAAATGTTTGTAGGTTCCTTGAGAGATGAATTCACGCTTTTGTAATAAAACTCATTGACACATCAAGTTTCTGCTTGTTTCCGGCCGCCATGTTGAAGCTCTTACGAATGCGTCTTCAAGATTTCCCCTAATATCTCGCATATGAAAAATTGCAGTGGCTTGAATTTTGTCGAGGATCTTTGCATACTTAATTAACTCCTTTCGAATTTACATAACAGACGCTGGACGTAAGCTATTCACTGTTTTGCTTTTGATTTTTGATGGCATAGTAGCGGGAAAACCAGCAATTTCCAATAAGAAAGTGGCAAACACAATTCCAAGGATTATTGTGGATCCCAGTTAACCAGATGAAAATGCAATTCACTAGTAGAATGGCGAAAGATTTTCGAACATGGAGTATCAAACGTATCAAGAAACGTTTCAAACAAACAAACAAGCAAACTACAAGTAACTAAGTAACTCTACGTTTGGGGGTCCTTGCTTAACTCAAGTCCCCGATGGCAGCTCATACGAGACTGGAGACAATTGATTTCGTCATTGTCCGAAGTTTTTACATTATGGACACCATTTTTTGGAGAACAATAAATTCGTGACGTCATCGCTGTCCTAAAATTTTGGGATGATCAAGACTTTTTCGCAGCGGTAACTTCCAATGAGACTTGTTTTGGTTGTTGTTTTGTTGTTGTTGTTGTTTTTGTTGTTGTTGTTTTTTTTTTCCGGGGAAAAGAAAAAAAAAAAGAAATCCTGAATAGTGCTAAATTCACTCCACGAGTCGTCTGCCGCCCACTAATAGGTAGCCTGTGTAGCAAGCGTTTCCAATCGAGTTATGGCGCGAAAGTTAGAGCGGGAGCCAAAAAAAAATAGGTGGAAGGGGGAGGGGGAGGGGAGAAGAGGAAACGCTTGCCCGCAAACCCCACGATTCTGGAAAATGCCCCTTGATATTTCAAGGTTCGGTTCATTTGTAAATTGACAGCACGTCAAAATAGAAGTATAACGAACAGATTACCCCTGCATAACCAGATTTGTAAAATTACTTTGTTCTATAATTGAACACGTTCCAGGCGATTGCAAAAACTGTAATAAAAAAGGTTTGCGATAAAAGAAGGTTAAAACTCTGAGCGATTGCTTCTGGATTTCTTGTTTTTTATTTTGGCTTTATCTCGTCTGAAACCTTGTCGAAACGTCAAAAATTATTTGTCCGCAACAATTCACTCCGCCGGCTATAAGTTTTGCAGATCTCTACAATACATGCCGCTAAATTTCCAATTAACAAAAATAATCTTTTTATTTCAAAACGCTGACAAATCACTTGTCCATGGCGGCTTTAGCTAGTGTCTAGTACCGATGTTCTGATTTACGATGATGTTATCTCCAACAAGCAGTCCATTTTTTCCAGTCACATCCGCGCGCCGTCGTTCCCAATAAATTGGCCTTCCCTAGTCTCCACTGCTCGATCTCCCATTATACTTTAAAGACTCTGATCGCATAAACCTTCGCACAAACACGATTCAAATCAGTCCAAAGCAATCGTAATCTGCGACCACAAATCAGATATAAAGACCAGATCTGTGACGCACGTAAACAAAGCATACCTGGTTTGATTGATGTTTCGAGTGCTAAGTAATCAACACTACAAGCACCGCACCAATCAAAAGCTGCGTTCGTGGGCGAACGCAATTATTCAAAATCGTGGGGTTTGTGGGCAACCGTTTCCTTCTTTCCCCTCCTTCTCCCCT